ACTACCACTGCCACTGCCACTGCCACTGCCACTGCCACTACCACTGCCACTGCCACTGCCACTGTCACTAATAATAATTATAAGTTAATAATAATTTAATACTTATATTGCGCGTATTACATAGGGAGATGCTCACACGCGCATTACAAACTGATTAAAATAAGTAACCTAGAAATATAAATTCTGATCTAAACATACCATGTGGACCCGTTGCATCAACCCCAAAGGAGCGCAACCAGGAGGCCACTGCCACTGCCACTGCCACTGCCACTGCCACTGCCACTGCCACTGCCACTGCCACTGCCACCACTACCATCTGACTATACTAAATAGTACTTCCACCACATCCACACAACGATATTAACTAAATGTGATTAAAATTCCCTATATATTATTTAACGTCAAACCACCTCCTTTTAGGTGTAGTCCATAATATCAAATATAGCACACAGCTATAATATCAGTTCCTCTGCTCTCTTCACACTCATTAGACGACCTGGCACATCACCAGACGTCTGTCTAGAGTACATAGCAATTCATATTTATCATATTCTTACTAGCGCTGTTGTCTATCAATAAAAGGATAAATAAAAAAATCAAAGAGATTTAACAGTAAGTGGCTCTTTATTCATTGGAATTCGAATTCGAATCGTATGAGTTAATTTATGCGAAGGGAGAAAAACCCTCTAAGCACAGGAGAGAACAAACAAGCATTTAATAACATCTGAAATAACTGGTATTCTCTACAATCTGATTGGCTCCCAGCAGTGCGATTTAATCACAAATTGCACTCTACTCAGTTCAATTATGAATTATCTGTGCTAGATATAACATAACAACAGGGAGTCAGTTCTTAAATCACTTGGAAGATCTCAATTTAGTCAAGTCAAAACGTCTAAATATTTCTTAAAATAAAGTGCACAAGCACTGAGGCCGCTTTTATACTGTAAACCTCTTTATAATCTACGTATACAGTTTTAGAGAGCTTTCAAATCATTGAAAAAAAAGTTTTATTTATCGTTTCCTCCTGAAAATTTTGTGATAAACCGCCTTTGTATTTTACATTTTTAAAGATCTTTGGAATCTTTGAAAAAATATTATAGATTTTTCGCTAAAAAGAATTAGACGTACAGTCAATAATTTTGCTCTACGTTAGTTCCCTAGCAGGTAATTAATTTCGGCTTATTTGTTTATCTTCGAAGGGGTCTTCTTGGACCTCTAATATTATCGTCACGTGCAATATCGTAAGAATGGTGAGTCTACGCATGCGCGTGACCGCTGGAATAGTGCTACTGGTGGATGGATGAGGATGTGACGGACGGACGGATCGATTGATTAATTGAGTGAATTTATACATTATAGTATAGAGGCACGGTTAATATTAACATAATCTCCTTAGGTTTACGATATATACGGCTACATATTGGTATTGGCATAAATCAGTCATCTTTATCTCAAGTCATTTTATAAACTCACATATTGAATAACGAACAGCTCATTTGAGATTCAAGTCAACACCTTGCTGCTTGTATTGTAAACATAACGTTGACTAACCTTGATGTTGAAGGCGAGTAGTATTTGGTCTCGCCTCTTGGGGGAAAACACTCGTAGTTCCAGTTATAAACACGCTGCAATATGAAACATACTCTGTAAGAGAGAGAGAAAAAGTAATTTTGTTGTTATTTCACACTCTTGGTTTCGCTGGGTGAATTTATAATCGCGTTGCGCAAATGAAAAATGAAAATCTTTTTAATCTTTTCGCGCCCCCGGAACTTCGGTTTTCTCGACTCAAATTAATTCAATTTACGCTTAATCCTGATTCGACTAATCTGCCGCCCGACGTATAGAACTCACTTCAGTGAGATCATAATCATACATGCATTTTGTCAGAGACATAGAACGCTGATAGACCCGTGGCTTTTTTCTTTGCAGCTGAGCTCGACGTCGTAGGATACCAGACTATTGGGATTAGTATGTCTGTCGAATCGCTTATTCCAATGGTTAACAGATGGCTCGAAGGAGTTCATTCAGCCATGGCTATCAACTCTGCCAGTCAAGATGAATCGAGTGAGGTAGGACATTACATTTTAAAAATAATTTTCTTTTATATTAGTATTTATTTTCGAAACAGAAAGAGTCTATGAATGTATGTGGTGATGGTCATTGATGTTTGTTGGTTGAATCTTGTATGTTTGAAAGAGTACGTGCTGGGTTGTGTTTTAATGTTCGTGCAGTGGTGCGCTTTCTTGACTGTGTTGAATCTGCTTGACTTAAAAGACTCGGCAAGAAATCGAAGAAAAATAAAAGTAGGGAAAGGAAAGAGAATAGGAAAGGGAAAGAAAAAGAGGAGAATAAATGAATAAATAAAAATTGAATGGAAAGAAAATGGGAATGAGAAAAGAGAAGGAAAGGAAAAATGGAAAAAGAAAATAAAGGGGAAGGGAAGAAAAATGAGAATAATAAAAGTAAAAAATAGTAAAATGGAATTGGAAACAAAAAGAGAAAAAGAAAAAGGAGAATGAGAATGAGAAAATGAAAGAGAAAATGAAAGAGAAAATGAAAGACTAGAGAATAAAACAAAATTAAAAGCAAAAGTTAAGAGGAGAGAAATAAAAGATATGGAGGAAAAAAGGAATAAGAAAAATAAAAATAAGAAAAGAAAATTAAAAATAAAATCAATATATATGAAGACTACGAAATAAATTCTGAAGAAAATTCAATACTAAAAGCTAAGCCACAGTTAACAAAAGACATAAGAATTCATTATCATGAATAAACGAGATATCGAACCACTACCTATACAAAATCGACGCATTATCGGCTCAATTTCCTTGTTTTAATCTCATGAAAAACGGATGTCCTTTATACAACACCTCCATCAGGAGAAACCATTGGTGTATGCCAAGTTCACCAGCAGGTTGTTTTATATTTACTTCATATTTTAATTTAAACTGTTATATTCCATTAACACGCAGCCTTTATATAAATATTTTGGTAGTTAGATCTTTTTGTTTTTATTGAATGGCGATGAATCGAGAGTTTAAAAAGAACAAAAAGCTTCATATCGTTTCTCTTATCTCACGTTATTGTTTATTTTTTCAATGCAATTTTTAAGTGATCGATCATAACAGTTATATATAGAGAGGCTTTGCACCATCACGTGATGGCAGCCATGACAGGAGGCAAACAATTGCTTACTATCAATCACGTGACATTTTGGAGTTGAATGGGGGGCAAACAAGCGGTTGACTGGGGGGCAACTAGCGGATGTTAAGTCAAAACATGTCAAAATAAGTCCTCAAACTATTGCATTTGACTATTTTCACGACATCAAACCAGAAAACAAGAGATCAAAACAACCTCCAGGATTCTACAAGCCATCAAAAAAGAGCTATTACCGGAAGTGACGTCTATTGATAGCAACCTATAGCTAGTCGTTTTTCCCTGGGAAACTGAATTCTTTCTCATGTAAATGGCTAGTCATCACGTGATGGTGCAAAACCTCTATAAAACCTCTTATGATCCGATAGATAGCTGGTAGTCTTAGCTCGACGCTCAACCTCTTTACGACCACTTCCGACCACCAATTTATGAACTCCATCCTATCCTAATCCTAACAATTACCGATAAATTTAATTTATTGATTCCAAGTAATCTCCGAGGCTTTAAATGGATACTCTTCAACTTCGACCACCTGTGCTCCCAGTTTCAGCGAATCTATTTGCCTGCGGATACTCTTATTCAGTTCCTCTCATTAATATTCTCGTTCAACGTCCTCAATACATAGACCCCTTTCAGCACGTCAGAATGCAGCTTAGTTTGGAGGACACAACAATAGGTTTCCAATTATCAGGGGATTGAAATCCTTTTGTTTTGTCCTCCAAATTAAACTCATTTGACGTCTTTGAAGTTTGGTAAAGCGAGACAAATTTTGGTAAGATAAAAAAGGCATGTCTTGCAAGTTCCTGTCACGTCGTCATATTCTCATATTCTACAGGATATCTTCACAATGATTTGTATCCGGCGATTAGTTCGATTGTAATAAGCCCGTTCTCTGCGAGAAATCGCGCGGCGATCGTTCTAAAATTTCTGACAGGGAGTGAATCCGGCACTTCTTCTGTTCTTCTGTGTGAAAGAAAATATCTGATTCACTGTGAAATTAAAACCAAAAAACAAAAAAAGTTTAAATTATTCGCAAATGAAAGCAATAAAAAATATACAATTTTTTTTTTCCTTCCGTTATTGAAGACAGAGTTTTATATACTGAATTCGTGTGAGACGGAAAAGGCCGTGATGAAAGTAAGTGTCTATCAGAGGATACCGGATACAATTATTTTTAACAGACTCTACTTTACCCAAAATAGCTTTTTCGGTTAAATTTGACTTGAATCCCCGTAGAGAGTGCGATGCTATTTTTAAATAAGAACATCTCATCCTGGACAAAGTACAGAACAATACTGACAATGTTTTGATCAAAAAATAATTTTCAGTCGTCGAGCGGAAGTAACCTTCTTGCGGTGGAGCAGAAAACATAGAAGTACAAAAGGAACTCTTTTTTCTCATTCAGAAATAAAAATGCGTTACAATACACTATTCACACACAACAGAACAGAATACTTTACTAAAATTCTAGATATAAAAATATAAACTCAGTGTATAAAACATGAAAGCTGTTGTTAGTTCTTGCTGCTTCTGCTGCTTCTTCTGCTGTCGTCGTTTCCTTAACTTACAAATGTGCTGATGATGTTTGGTCCCATTTATTGTTTTGTGTTTAAGTTATTGTCGTTGCTCTTCAGACGTTACCGCTACTGCTACTCTCTCTCTCTCTCTCTCTCTCTCTCTCTCTCTCTCTCTCTCTCTCTCTCTTTCTGTCACACCGATTCCTGCTCCCATAGAATTTCCCCTTCGCACCTATACCAACCAACACACCTGGGCGGAACCTAACTTACTCGACTCTATCAGTTACGATTAGAATAGAGCGCAAATCATTGCCCACCAGTTTAAAAAATACTTCAGTATTTCTAGACTGAATTGTGCTCAGCTTGAATGACTGATCTTTACAGGAAAAAGACATTCAAAACCTAAATATATGTACTCGCACTCCTCAACTCCTCAAAGTTTTCTCCTTTGTCTAGATCTTTTTCCGCTATTTTTATCTGGCAAACAACTCAAACAGATGAAGGTTTAAAGACATCAAAAAAGAAAGCAAAATGACAGGAGGAACTCGACAAAAAGAAAACAAGAAGAAAAAAAATGCACCGATTACACATTATCGAACTCCACAAGCATCACAAAAAATCCACCTTTTTCTTGCTTAATTACGAGAAAATCTGGCCCCGTAGAAATGTCGATTCATATTTTATTACTCAAAATGAATAACTTTCAGCAAATTAAGTTTCATTCATACTTTGCTCATTGTATCATTATCAGCCTGAATTATCATCCAGTTCTATGACAATATTTACAAAGATATAAAAAATCTACAAATTAATTTATTTTTCAGAGTAACAATGGCTTCGGTTATTCCGTGCATGTGTAGTTTGTGTTTTCAATTGTCAGCCACAGCGTAAGCTGCTCTAATATTTATATCTTTTACAGGGATTTTTTCAGGGAAAAGATCTCTTTGTTTTTGAACGATATGAGGGCATATAAAAGGCATATTTATCGGGCGATATATATCGCTATTTACAATGGTAAATATATCAGGAGTTATTTATAGAAAGTGTGACCATCTTTCAAGCCTGGGATTCTGCCATTTGTCAGATCAGATGACAGATTTATGTCCGGGAATGATTTTACTTTGCTTATTATATTCTTCCATTACCTGAGCGCTCTACATATTGACAGCTATATTTAGGAAGACATTGATCAAAATGTACACAGCGCTCCGCGGGCATCAGAAAGGCAGATTGATTCACAAGTTTAACGATTGCTTGACCATTTCGTGCCCACAGGATGAAATAGAAGACGAGGAAGATGCTGAATTATCATCACCAACCTCAGACAAAACTGCAAGTACGACGCCGGATCCACGGTCCGGTCACGATTGCGATAAAAGAAAACCTTTCAAAAGTCGCTTTTTCAAAAGAACCAAAGAAAAATGCATCGACTATAACGATAATGTGGCTGACAGTACACCCGATTTACTGCCAAACATTGCTTCAAAAAGATCTCTCTCAACTGAGGATTTACCAAGAAATTTGGAAAGATTTTCTGGACATTATGACATTGAGCAGAATTCTCAGGAACCGTCGTACTTCTGTTACAGTCACTCGCACACAAAAAGAGATTCTTTTGACTCGACTGTAGCACAGCGTCCTTTTTCTCCATGTTCGACTTTAGCGGCTTCAGATCAGTTCTCCGTTTGCGAAGAAGACATCGTTCTAATGAGTCCACGGTTTCGAGGGATTTCCTCGCAGAGGCGAGCATCGGATGGAATGGTACAGCGAATCCCTGTTCAATGGACAATGCCGGAGTCCAATCATGGATTCTCTAGCTCATCCATTGATGTTAATGGTACCTGTAGTAGATCATCTAGTAGGCCAGCGACGCCTGCAACGCCAGTTTCTCCATTTATCAAGATAAAAGCAAGCGGAGGATTCAAATTACCCCCGCTTAATGCACCCAACCCAAGAAGGCCAAAATTACAGGAACTGCCATCGATTACTATATCTGAAAACAGTGGAAGTAGTAGCCAGGGGTCGCTGGAGTCTTTTATTGATGAGCAACCTTGTGCGGCACCTAAAAACCTCGAACAAACATTAATCAACACAGCTGAGGTAAGGCTTTTACATATATGTGATTAATTATAGAATACACAAGCCATGACTAGAGAATACATATGGAAATTAAGTGTTGGCATTAAATTTATCTAACATCACAAGCGCTGCTTTTGGACTTTCTAATATTTACATGGATGTATATGAAACAAATGGGTCGCTGGTTCGAGCCCTGCGGTCGCAACATGCGAATTGAGTTTGATTAATGTGTTGTTCTCTCCTATTCTACGAGGTTTTTCTCCGGATTCTCCGGTTTTCTCCCTTGTTAAAAATCAACATGTGAGTTGAGCGTTATTTGCATAGAATATTTAATGTAGTGGTAGTGCGTGTGAGTGAAAAGTGTCTCCAATTAGTGCGAAAGCGCTAGAACGACTAGACACTTAAATAAAGTGATTTATTTATTTAATTTTGTTAGCGTAGTGTTAGGAAACGGGCTTGGAAACGACACGCGGTTATTTGCGCGCGCAAAGTCGTATATAACGATGACAATTTGCAATTAGAAAATGAGATGAAAAAATGTTTTGCTGCACTTAAACATAAACTCTTTGTCCTTGCGCAAATAGATTAATTTTGTCATAACTCATTTAGCTTAAGTTTCACATCTCCAAGATCCTGTTTTTAACGACGCTAAAAACAATAGTAAGTTGCTCTGGATTATATAAATGGTCCGAATTCCACTTCCGTTGCGTCATAGGAAGTGGGCGCCGTCTCGGCAAATCTTGGTCGTTATATTTCCGCCAAAATTCGAGTTTTACAATTTTTTTACGTGTGAATCTTAAAAAAGTGCACCCTTAGTCTAGCGTTCGTTATTGCTCTTTCTCATTTCGTCATTAAAGTCTTACAGTTCGATATTCGTGTTTGACCATAGAGTGTGGAGCTTGACGATGCGACGTTGTAATGTCACAATGTGACATTGAAGTTTTTACCATACGAATCGAAACGGCCAAATTACAAAGCGCAAATGTAATACAGATATTATTGCACAGAAAGCTAAGTCTATGCAACTAATGCAGTTTTAGAGTTTATGCGAATCCAGATGTGTTCTAGTTGAAGTACATCCTTCAATTTTCATGAAAGGTATTACCATGCTCACGTGACGGAGGCCACGTAAGATGACAGAACAATAGAATTCCCCCTTTGCTCTGGGGAATTGAATTCTTTGTCCTGTAAAATAATTGTATTGTTCCTCCCATCCTACTGATGTCTGCCGTCATGGGATCGCGCAAAAACTCTATAGACTCCTTGCAGCACTTTGGAATGCAGCTCAATCTGGGGGACAAGACAATGGGTTCCAATTCTCAGAGATTGGAATTCTTTTGTTTTGTCCCCCAGATCGAGGAACTTTGACGTCACATGCAAGGGGTCCATTACAACCGTTTGAGTAAGTATATCTTTGGTTGAAGGACACCAAAACTCCAACTATAGAATTAATTATACAGTATGAGGAACAGTCATACCTTTGTACCAGAACTTGTGTTTAACCTTTTACCTAATTTTCTTGCAACCTCTGAATTTTCAATTGAAATTCCCCACCCATCCTTTCCCGGTATTTTATTCAGGAATCTTACAATTCAATGTCCTTAGGGGAAGTCGCTTTCCGCTGTCAAAAACGCGAAACATCTTCTCCAAAGGCGTCGAGGATCGCTTCCTACGGTCATGTCTGCAATACGCAACAGCGCTCTACCAATCGTCAAAGAAGAACATCCACATACTGAGGAAGAAAACAAGAAACCAGCACGTGATAAGCACGTTAACCTTCAGATTCCACGGCATAGGTTCCGTTCAAAGAGTCTGGACGGGCAGCTGGGCACTGCTAGTGAATGGGAACAATACAAGGTACAGAACAATATTTATTTAAGAAATTTGCCTGTAAATCTAGTTCCTGAGCCTGCGCTTCTAATGGCCAGCAGTGCTCCTAGGCATTTGTGCTGACCAGCAGGAACGCCGGCTCTGAAGACGAGATTCGAAACGTCTTTTCAAAGGGGGATTCATTAGAAAATGAGATAAGTAATAGAAATAGAGTTGGGATACCTGTTGTTTTTTTATAGAACGTGCATTCAAAATTAGAAATAAACAGTGTTCATATTTTGGGGAGTATTAATGTATGAAGTCTTGCGCGCATCCAAAGTTTCATTTATCCCGCGTTCTCTGCGCGCGCATTTACAAACTTTCTCTTGTTTCTCATGTTTAATTTGCGTGGAGAAATCTTTCATCAAACCATAAATACAGTGGTTTCCTAAGCAAGGATTGGCTAATTTTTACACATTTTTCTGGACAGTACAACATGTTTACAAAATTTCTTTGTGTTTTTATCTTTTTTAGGCGCGTGCCATGGAGAGAAGAGCGCAGCTCCCGTAATGCAACAACAAAGATCTATCATCATATCTAACTAAATGAGTTTATTTAAGCTTAGTGTGTTGAGTGGAAATTACCGTATATGCTGTTCGTTGCAGGATTTATTTCGCTCCAGTGCCCGCGCAGTCTTGCTAGCGTGGAAGAGTCTGGGCATCTGGAACCCAGGATTTTTCAATATTCGGATTCATTAAGCCTCATAATATTTGCGAATAATTAATGAGCGCGAAAATCAAGCATATTGGTCAGGTTTGGGACGACTATTACAAAAATAAGACGTATTGTCTATCGGGAAAAATCTGGAGAGTTACAATTGTGAAAAAATTATGCGCTCGTGCAAAGCTCAAAAGCGGTGTTGTAGAGCCAGACGAAGAGGACGTCGCATACCTATCTTCTCTAACCTCAAAGGCATCTGTCTTCCTGTTTACTATTCTCTGGGTTTCCTGTGGTGAACGATGAAAGAGGAAGACAAGGAGAGGGCACGGAAAAGAAAGAAACCCCAGAGACCTCTCATTTTTACTGCGCATGCTCGACGAAATGCCATCGAACACATCGATGCACACAGGTAGCCCAATAACAGCAAATTACTGAAAAGATAAACAGGAGTAAGAATATACGCCCTTGCACGAGGTTGCGACCCTCGTTTGTTGACTGAGACTCAAACCATCGCGCACAATAGTGTGTATAAAATCAAACGCATCTGTAAATATATGATTTTATGTAGCCAATCTATGAGTTTTACCAACCAACAAAATCAACCAAAGCAAAAAAAAAAAAAAAAGCATTCGATATCAAATGTCATCAATTGATATGAAAAGCTTAAAGGAAAAATTGAATTGATTATTCCTTTTTTGTTAACGAAAATAAACAAAACTTATTGAAATTATACTCAATTAATAAAAAGACATGCAAGCTGAATTATAATAAAATAATCATAATAAACTGTTGTCCAAGAACGTTCTATGATTCTCAGTTTCTATCCATCATCCATCCCTCCATCCTTCCCTCCCTCCCTTTTTCCCTCCCTCCCTCCCTC